CGCATGCTGGACATCCTCAGCGGTGCCATGTGGGACGCCTACTGGCCCAACTGCTGCCTGAGTGTGGACAAAGCGCTTCTTCCCGGTCTGGAGGGGGACCTGGGATCGGGGAGCTCCAAGGGCCAGCCACAGGTATGGCTGCTGTGCGACTCGAAGTCTGGCTACTGCCATCGACTCTTCATCGAGACCGGCGTTAAGGCGAGCCGGGAGGCGGGCTCGGATGTCGTGCAAGAGCTGGTCAAGGGTCTGGAGAACAACCACCACCAGATCTACTTGGCCAACTCGCTCACGTCCGTCCCTCTGGTGCAGAAGCTTCTGGAGCAGGGCATCTACACCTCCAGCTCCTTCCCACCTCCCAGTCCCATCCTGCCGGCGGGAGTTTGGGAGGACGGCCGGCTGGACAAACCCGGGGACTTCCTGCAAAGGCAATTGGGTCCCGTGCTGGCTACGCGCTGGAGGGACACCAAAGAGATGGGCTGCCTGTCCACAAACGCCCACGTCGGGGAAGCGGACACGGTGTGGAGGCGCTCCCAGACCAAGGTGGGGAGCTTGGATCCCATGAAGCGGCCCATGGCCTTCCGACTTCTGCAAGAGAACATGCGAGGGGTGGACATCTGCAAGCAGCTGCTGGCCTGCAATCCGCTGGGTGGAATCCTGCAGGACCGCCACTGGCGTACGCTCTTTTGGTTCCTGGTCAACCTGAGCGTGGTCAATGCCTTCATCGTCCTCCGCGAGAGCCGCAAGGACAACCCGCCGGCCTGGGTGCGAGACGGCCTCTTCACGCAAGTCAACTTCCGCAGGCGTCTGGGTGTCCAGCTGGCTGAGTGTGCCCACAAGCCCTCGGATAGGAGCGCCGGCCTCAAGCAGCCCAAGGTGGAGAGGGACGACCCAAGCGTCCAACGCCGGCACCGCATGGGCAAAATTGGGGGCTCGTCGAAATTGTGCCAACACTGCAACGGGAACAAGGATGATGCCTGGGGCTGCGTGGCGTGCGGGGTGGGACTATGCAAAGACCCGCGATGCTTCTGGGAGTTTCACGGACTGTCGCCTCTCAACAAAGGTGTGTCCGTCGTCTTTGAAGGTCATCTGAAGGTCTCGGCGGTGATGCCAATTGCTGCTTAAAGTTGTCCGTTGTTCTCCGCAGGCCTGACAGAAGTTGGGTTCCTCGACAGCGTCCGAAGGTAATCGCGAGCCCCTTCCTCAACAAGTATTTCTTTTGGGATTTGCTTTATTTTCAACTTTCAACAAAAGTAATAGAAATATATTTACAGATCGTCTGAAAATAATTCTGTTCTCACGTAAAACATCACTTATGGTCCCAACATGAATGTGAACGTGACTCTAAATGAATTGATGACTCCTACAATTGAACATCAATTGGCCAGTCCACATCTTTCGGCTCTCTCACGGATTTTCTCTTGTAGGCGTGTACAGGTGAGGTGACGGGACCCCGCGCAATTATTTCTGGCTTGAAAACCTATTTTCTCACCTGCATTGACTCGCACAGCAATTTAAACGGCATCCCATTGTTGAGCCAGAGGGATGAATAGGATGTCGTCCTGACAAACAAAAAATTAATTGATCAAATCGGTTAATAGCCCTGTCCGAGATTGAGGAATTTAATTTCCCCTTGAAGGATTATGATCAGTAAATTACATTGTGTAGCCTTCTTGGTGTCTGACTTGTCTGTCAATTGTGTGTGACAGTGGGGAGGCGGAGTCTGACAATCTCCAAGACCATCTGGCCCCACTTGAGGACTTGGACTTCTCTGAAGACGAGGGCGCAGACAAGCCTGAGGAAAGCCAACCTATAAAAGAGGAGCCGCCTTCGCCGCCTTCCTCACCTCATCCGGCAGATGTCAGCAGCCAATCAGCCGCCCCTGCCCCCGCCCCCAAAGAACGAGTAGACTTCCTATCAGCCCACCAGCTGAGGGTAGCGCTGCTGGCTTTGTGCAGCGGAGTGCGCCAGGCTTCCATGGTCTTTGCCACCGAGCCTCGGCTCATCCGGTTCTGGCTGAAAGAAGCCAGGAACCATCTGAAACAAAAAAAACGGGAAGAAGTTGAGGTACAGGTCCAGGGGGATGGCGAGGCCCGCCTGGTGGCCTGGGTACTGAGCCAGCGTGAGCAGCAGCTTCCTGTCAGTGAAAGCGTCTTTTTTCACAAAGCGGCTGCCCTCAACAAGAACGGCGCCTTGGGTGACACCTTTCAAATGTCGTACGACTGGGCCGTGCTCTTCATGCTTCGATACCGGCTTGGCACGACACTGCCCGCCGACAGCAAGCGAGCGCCGGCTCGCCACCTGCCGCTGGCTCTGCAAGCTAACGTTCAGTCCTTCAAGGAGTTTACTCAGAGAGTGATCCGGGTTCACCACCTTCCCGAAAATTCAGTCGCCGTGATGGATGAGTTGTGCTTCTTTGTGGATCACAGGAGCTTTCAGGACCGGCGGCTGCGCGCCGAGGCTTTGCAATTCACAGGCTCAGTACCGCTGGTCACCGTCTGTCTGTCGGCGCTGGCTGACGGAACTATGCTTCCCGCTTTGGTGCTAACCAACCGACAGCTGACGGGTGAGATGCTGCCAGACTTTGTTGTGCTTGAAGTCACTTCGCAGAACCCATACGCTGCGGAGGCTTTCAAGGTCTGGACTCAAAGGATTTGGCTTCAATATCTTTCTGGGCCAGTTCAGCACAGGAAGTCCATGTTGGTGTTGGACCAGCACCACAACCACGTGGGAGACATTTCCCTCAACCACCTGAGCACCTCGGGCACTCTTCCGGCCGTGATCCCCGAAGGTTGTTCCTTCCTCCTGCAGCCTCTGGACCTCTGCGTAAAACCGGCTCTAGAGCGTTTCCTCCGGGCCCGTTGGACCAAGTTCTGCACTGACCACCAGAAGGAGCCCGAACTACCTGCGCCGGGAAAACTGCACGACACTGCCGTTCAAATGCTGGTCCGCTGGACGACCGAAGCCTTGACGCTCCTTAAAGACCTCCGTCAGCCGTGGAGGACCTCCTTCGAGATTACGGGTATCCTGCCGTTGACAGACCCCCACGAGGAAGGTCCCGACCGAGAGGACAACCAGCAGAAGCTCTTGGAGAAACTTGAAAAGATACTGCTGCCTTCTGAAGATTGTTTGGACCTCCTGGAAGTGGAAGGTAAAGAGGATGAGGAGGACTCCGAAGACGACCGGACATCTGCAGGGAAATCCGAAGAGAGTAAAGAGGAGGACACTCAGGAGGAACTAGGGTCGGACACCAAAATAAAACGGCAAGAGAAAGGGGAAGGCAACATAGAGACGGAGGTTCAGGAGGAAGAAGAACCACAGGAAGACACCAATATAACCTGGGAAGAGAACAGAGAGACAGACAGCCTGGAGGCAGAAGAACCAGGGGTGAACACCAAAATAGACCAAGGAGACCAGCTTCTGACAATGGAGGCGGAGAGTGAAGAAGAAGAGAAGGAGAACGAGGACAGGAATGAGGCCACTAAGGAGCGCAGGGAGACCAGGATCATGATTGGAGAGGAAGTCGGTGACGAGTGGAAGATAACCATGAAGACCAGGACGGAGACAAGGACCGAGGCTGCCCAGACAAACCAAGATGAGCCCCAACAAATGGACCAGAGCTGAAGGTTGTTCCGGATCTTTCGAGGAGCCAAAATCCAGTTGACCGTTGGGACTGCCAGGATGCACGACTGGAAAGTCTCCAAGCCTCGGACATTGATGCAACGTTCTCAATTGGTGTTCTAAACTTGTGAGAAATTTGTGAAGTCATCATGACTATGACGTGTTGAAGCACATGAGCAAACCTTCCAATCTAACTCTTAGCATCTAGCTTCCAAATTAGGGTAGTTTTGCTAAAGGCCCACGCATTCAAGAACAGCTGGCCAATCAATGCTCCATGTAAATGTTAACGCGACTTTGTTAGCATGGACTTGTTGCTACGTGCTAACACTAATTGCAGCAAGATGAGCGACGAGCTCCTCAAAGTTCAAACATGACGTCATCCTTTCTCCTATTTGGATGGTGTCACTACCTGTCTGTTGGTTTCCTGCCAATCACCTGACATTGTCATCGCGGGTCACATGGTTATGGTGGGCGGGGCCAATGCGACACTTGAATGATGCTAATGCCATTTCCTGTTTTTCCACTATAAAGTCTTTTTATGATCTACAATCGCTCAGGCTTTTGTGAAGGATTTCTACACAATGAGACAAATTGTTAACTGTCAATCATGTTTTCATGTTCTCTGTTGATCAACAAAAGATGACTTTAGATTGGAAAAAAAATGTTTTTGCTGAGACCCCTTAGAGATCAGAAGACCCGAAGAAGCCACAATGATAGCACATTTTGCTTGTTTGGCTAAAATGAGCCTGTTTCAATGTGAAGTGAGCCACTGCTCACCTCACGTTAAACAACACGGCGGGCCAACCTTATGGCTCACCTGATTTTCATTGCCGTGGCAGCTGGGGTGGAGATAGATAGCAACAAAGGCAGTAAAAGCATTTTCACTTGAGGAGGCACCACTTCATACCCTACTCTGTGTATATGTCACCATACGCACTTCCCCTGGGTTGGCTGCATCACCGATCAATCGCGCCCGTGTTGCTCTTCAGAAGCTAATGCTAATCTGCGTGTCTCATCACAGTCGGTGCAGCGCTGCTTACCTGTTGGCTTTTGTGCTTGTTGCGTCTGCTTGCCTCATCGTATTTGACGCTGTCTTTAGAAATGGCTCTGAATCTTCAGCAAGTGTACCTGACAAATTATAGGCAGGGAAACTTAATGTGTGGGGACGGGATTTTGCAAAATTGAGGTCTTGCTCACAGGCACTTGTTGACAAATGGTCACACAATGAAATGATTTGGTTGTTTCATTCCACATTTGACCAACACGTAGAATATATCATCCAACTCTAGGTCCAGAAGTGAACTCCGAAGCAGAGTTTGTCTTCTTGTTCGCAGCTCCGCCTGCCTCCTATTTAACAAGACTGTTATAGGCCCGCCCTTGGTGTCTCATTGGTGGAGCATGGCCACAAATCTCTGTGTGTGAGGCTGCTTGGCACCCAGCTTGTGTGCGTGTGTGTGTGTGCACGGTGAACCCCAGCAAGCGTCGACATGGGTGAGTGGACCTTCTGCAAAAGAAACACCACAAGGCAACTTGACACTCACACTACAAACTTAACACGTTTTTTTTTTTTAATCATGGGGTCATTGTGACATGCTTTTATTTGCTAAGTGCACACTTCTACCATAGTCTTTTGTGTGTGCGTATGTTGGCCCGAATGGGGGGCGGGGGGGTCTTGCATAAGTGTCACGATCACTTCACATCACTGTGTGGGACCTTTTACTGGGGTCGTCTGGTCACTGCCTGTTTTTTTTCAACAAGGCTGGTGCACTTTTTTATGTTCATGCAGAATGAGGATGACCTTTGAACACACACTAACAAGCTGTAGAACTGGTGATTCCAGAGCAACCAACAAAATGCTAACTTGAATGATCAGTATTGGTTTTGTCCAGTGATGAGGATGAAATGAAAACATGTTTGGAGAGTGTCAGTAGTGTGGGTCCAAAATGCTGACTAGAGATCACTTTTGCCTCTTTGTTTTAATGACGTCAATGTTTTTTTTTGGTGTGGATTCTGCTCTTCAGCTGTGTCTGGTGTGTTCAGTAGAGGTTGTTTTTTGTTGTTGCTGCTTCTCCTGCTGCTTGTCCTGGGAACACGCCCACACTTTAGACTCGAGTCCTGAGATGACCCCCTCACAGTTGGAAAATTGGGATTATTCGGGTCCACAATGGCTCGACAACACTTTCAACATAGCAACCCTGGAGAAACACAAGTTACTCATTGCCCCCTTGCAGTGGACATGCTACTGTGGGCCTTGAGTCACTATGAAAATGAAAAAGAAAGCTAAGAGAAGCAACTGATACACGAATAAATGTGAATGCACTTCTATTTCACACTCTGATATTTCCATTTCAGCATCTACAAAATATTTTGGCAAACAGTGGAGTTTCATCGAGCTCCAATCTGGCGTGTTTAATATTTTGTTCACTAATGATTGGCCCGAACTTAGATTTTGTGCATACTAAATTGATGTTCAACAAGATGAATCAATTTAATATTCCAAGCATTATTTAACACAATTTTGTTTACCAAAAAAAAAAAAACATTTGCGATGAGCTGCAAGGGTGACTTTTCAGCGGCGACATCAGCACCAAAAAATAAATAAATACGTTTAAGTGCACTGCACAAAATTTGCACCGACATCAATGAGTTTGCTGAAGATAAGGAACGTCGGAATGGCAGCGAATCATTTGAGAGGAAGCTGCGCCTCAATATCGATGGCCAAAACGCTCCCGCCGAGACCACGTGATAATAGCGATGTCCAAATTCACAGGCTGCATCGTCCGAGGGTTGCATTCTTCGGCCGCATGACGTCACTTCGGGTGCGACTCGACCGCACGTGGTTTGCAAATTATGGAAGGAATTCACAGGCTGGGTCCTTCGACACCTTCAAAGCCTCTTCCTCATGTGGGCTGCATAAACCGTGGTGAAATTCGACAGGCTTAATGTGAATTGCGACGCCTCGTGCGGTCAGGTAGCGCCTTAAGTGAATTTCATTTGGCCGAAAATGCGCCTTTCAAAGGACCCAGTGTGTGAATTTGGACACGGGGAATGTGTGACTCCACGGTCTTGACTGGTTCCAACTAGATGCTGTATGTGTGCAGAAAGATAAAGAAGCCGAGTAGAGAGAGAAAGTCACAGTGACACAACAGCATAGCTCAAGTCACCTACCGAATTAAATGCCAGGACGATGTTGCAAGCTGACGGCGACAGCGTCAACCTCCTCTCGGGATGACTTCTTCTTTTTTACCGGTTGAGTAGAGGCACCTGTGGCTAAAGCTAAACAGTGGCAGGCATTTTACTTAATGGACCTCGATTTGCCAGCTCCGTGTAATGGAAAGACAAAGTGTCTCTTTGAAGGGCACATAATTGTCTTGAAATTCGTTTTAACCTGGTTAAGTGCTTGTGGAAGGTGAGGGTGGGCATGCTGTCCTCATTTGTTTTTGCCCAGGTGGACGCATCTGACAGCTGTGTCGCCGCTTACGTTGCAGTCTTCAGTCTCTCTTTGCTCATAAAGTACAACAAAGTGCACTTGACTTCGGTTGCGACATCGACACCCGGCTAATATTTAGCCCGAACTTGCATAACACTTGTTGATTCTCAGAGCGTTGATTGGAGGGCAACTGGATTGATCCGGTTGTTGTGGCTCCTATTTGCAAGAGAAGCAAAAAAATGAAATAACCTGGATGATTCTGGTTCTGGCCGTCCGTCATCATTCCATCATAATTTCAGGCCGGTCCAGTCAATCTGTCGTTGTTGGTGACAGCCAATCGCCATTGAGAACGACCTTCTTCACACGCAGGCGCAGCACAAGCTCGAGTTAAAAAAAAACACAACAAACGTTTATATTTTGGTCCCACATAACCACCATGGCAAAACCTGCTAACAAAATGTGGGCGGATGTGATTTTGTGCTGAGACAAAATTCTTGATAGTTTTGCAAACAGATCACCGGAAAAACCTGGATGTTGCATTGCATGCGGAATTTTTTTTGGGGGGATTACAACCTAACAAAATGTAGCAGAAAAAGGAAGTGCTGTGAATACTTTATTTGTGTTTTGTCAGCATACATCTCTTCAAAAGTCCAACGTTTCCCCTTTTGGCTTGGACAACAGGACTAGTTTGTCCCGCTTCAGTCCTAAATATTCCCTCACCTCTGTAATACAAAAAAAAAAAACCCCAACTTTATCTACCAGGTATATAGCGCTTTCACAACAGTTGCAGCCGTAACAAAGCACTTTCCAGAACAATTAGCGCGTAGCATGTTAGCAGTGCAAAACAACATATGAGTGCGCTTACTCTCACAATGGCGACGAGAGCCCCGATGGGCGTCCCTTTCATTTACTGGACGGCGACTAGTTTTTCTGGAGTTCTCAAGTCCATTCCAGCAGTCAGATCGGGGGCGCGCCCCATCCCAAGGAGGACGGGGTCAGGGGTCACACTGGGCCACGGCTGCCACTTCCCGTTTTGTGACCTTTTGCCCTTGCTTGTGCACAGCTGGCTGCTCAGGATGTGGACCAGGGTACCGGAGCCCGCTCGACGCCATGAAGGGTGAGTGTCTACGTGGGTACGTCAGCCAAGCATGTGTGTTTCTCACAATGTGCGCGTGCGTGCGTGTGTTTCAAGGCGATCGCGAGAAGATCGTGTATCTTCCGTGCATCTACCGAAACACATCCACCCGCAAGGCCGACTACTTGGCCACCGTGGACGTGGACCCGGAATCTTCATCCTATTGCCAGGTGACATTGCTGTCGTAAATTTCGTCATTCTGACGCTCCTCCATTTTATTTTCTCTGTCAGGTTTGAACTTCTCTGTCGAGTTGCAAAGGGCTGGATCATTTCTGGAAAGTTCCCAGATAATTTCCATGGGAAGATCAGAAAGGGAATTGAAACTTAAACTGAGAATTGAGATTTAATTTAATAGAAAGGTGACATGTAGTCAAGCATACTGTAAATGTCTTGTTTTGTCCAAGGCAGACTTTCATATACAGTATTGCAATTAGAAAGCAGGTCATTTCAACAGATTTGTTTGTAAGTAGAATGCCATCAAGTTAAATTTATTTATTTTTTTTGGCTCATATTTCTTGGAAGGGGAAAACCATCATGTTGACTGAAATATGACTCGTCCCCCAACTCAAGCATTCCAAAGGAAAACAAATGCCGCCAAAGTCCCGTTAAAGAGGTCAACGGAAAACAGCCTCTTCTCATTCAACGTGCAAACAAAAAGGGCTCCCTCCCTCTGCATCATTGCAGGCTCGAATTTCCTTGTTTTGGTCCCCATTTTGCAAAGTTTGAGATTTTCCCAACTTCCCTATCAAAAGCCACCATTCCATTTTGCAAATGACCGATGTATTCCTTATCGGTCCACATGCACGGAAAGTTAGCAAGTTGAAACATTCCCCAAAATGTTGCAAGCCTACTGCAATGTCGCCGGTCCAGACGGTTCAGCTTGTTTTGCAGGTCGTCCACCGCCTTCCTATGCCCAACGTCAACGACGAGCTCCACCACAGTGGCTGGAATGCCTGCAGCAGCTGCTTCGGCGATGCGTCCAAGAAGCGGAACCGCCTCATCCTGCCCGCCCTCATCTCCTCTCGGATCTACGTGGTCGACGTCGGCACTGAGCCCAGAAAACCCAGACTCCACAAGGTCTGCCGCACAAACGGCAACTGATTTCCACTCGCCGTGCCTGCTTCAAATAAACTCGCTCCGGTCAGCCAAGCTCCGTGCTAATCGATATGTTAGGCTTTGCCACGGTCTCCTTTGGGGATGAAGTTTTTCCCCACAAAGGAGAAAAAGTTTTTGTCGACAAGCTTTTCTTTGAGGAAGATTGTGGAGTCCTCATGTGGGGACCTGATGGACTTTGTTAGTTAGTCGCATAAACAAGGTCATAAAATGTGCAATGGCCATTTGAAATCTATTGATTCAAAACCAAGTCTTCAACTAACCAGATGGTTCAAATATACAGTCAAGTAGGGACCAAACCCGACCCCCAATAGCCAAAAACCACCAAAAACTGGAAAGCCCTGCTTACTGATGTCACAGGATGGCATCAAAGCAATATGGTTGCAGTCGCCGAGAACTACCGATTTGGTCTCTAAGGTCTTGATATTGACTACTGTGGTCCTTGGTCTCTGGTTTTGATCACCGAGTATGAGAGGTCGGATCAAGTTACGTGTGTGACTCTCAAGTCCTAACCTTCAAGTCTCAAGTGAGTCCTAAATGCTTTTGTTTTGGGGCGAGTCCAGTCCTCCAGCTAATGTCGTCTTGCACGTGGTTTCTGGCGAGTCCTGGCCTCTGGGCTCTTGGGCACTAAGGCGGTTCTTAAGTTTTCAGAGTACCGCAGCCCTTGTTTTGTTCCCAGACCGTGGAGCCGGTGGACCTCTATTGGAAGTGCGGCCTGGCCAACCCCCACACGACCCACTGCCTGGGCAGCGGTCAGATCATCATCAGTTGCATGGGCGACCCGTCCGGGGGCGGCAAAGGTTAGAGCGGCACTAGAGAGCACCACCTGACCGCTACAAGTTTTAGGACTCACCTTCTCTGTTGCCCTCTCAGGTGGCTTTGTGCTACTGGACGGCGAGACATTTGACGTGATCAGCAACTGGGAGCAGCCGGGTGAAGCGGCCCCCTTCGGCTATGACTTTTGGTACCAGCCTCGCCACAACGTGATGATCAGCAGCGAGTGGGGGGCCCCCAAAGCTCTTGCTAATGGGTTCGATCCTGCTCATGTCGCAGAAGGTGAGAACAAAGACAAGAAGAACCTTGTCTGACATCTTTCATTCACAAAAATGTCCCGGACTCTCAAGACCTTTAAAAAGCACCCGTTGTTCTTTTTAGTTGGCTGCTCTCCGCTCACACAAGTGTACTACTGAGTCCTCATAGACTGAGTATCAGGTTATAGTTGTCCCAAATTCGGATTTCACAGATTTCCAGAAGTTCAAAGTCAGCACTTCACAGATTGATCTAGAAATCACAAATTAGGACCTGACAGGTTGAGGTTGAGGTTCTAGTAGGCACATCGTCAGCATCTGAATCTTGACCATAAGGACCAATGTGAGTTCCTTGTTGTTCCAGGCCATTACGGTACTTCCCTCCACGTGTGGGACTGGACCACCCACAAGAGGGTGCAGACGCTGGATCTGGGAGAAGAGGGCGCTATTCCTCTTGAAATCCGCTTTCTCCACGACCCAAACGCCACTGAAGGTTTTGTGGGCTGCGCTCTCAAGGGGAGCGTGTTCCGCTTCTACAGAGCGCCAGTGAGCAATCCCTAGCGCAATCCCTTAACCTCTCGACCAACGAGGCCCCAAATATCTGTTCCACGTGACGGGACCAGGACCAGCTGGCCCCTATCTGGTTTTGACGCTGCCGCCCTCCTCCACGGTCACCTTATTGTTTGTCCTTTTTCGCTCAGTTCTATGTTCCATGTTCCATGTTGTCCTTCAGACAGGGAAGTGGGCTGCAGAAAAGGTCATCGGCGTTCCCAGTAAGAAAGTCGAAGGATGGATGCTGCCTGACATGCCAGGTCTGCATCAACGCCCGCCAAAGCTGTCGGGCTGTCTCTTTGCCTCCCTGTCCAACACCTGTCCATATGTATGTAGCCCTGATCACGGACATCTTGATCTCCTTGGATGACCGCTTCCTTTACTTCAGCAACTGGCTCCACGGTGACATCAGACAGTATGACATCAGCGACACCAGGAACCCTCGACTGGTTGGACAGGTCGCCTATCACGTGACAGGATGTCAGCAGGCGCAGCCCTTTGTGGGAGAGACGCTTTTACTTTCCGTCTGTTTGGCTGCAGGTGTTTTTGGGAGGCAGCATCACCAACGATGGACCGGTCCGAGTTCTGGAGGACCCTGAAAACCAGCCACAGCCCCAACCCCGTTTTATTCAGGTTTCTCAGACAGAACAACTGCCTCACTATTTTTCATCTCTGCCTATCTGACGGCAACCTGCCTGCCTGACTATTTATCTAGCTAGCGGTCAGTCATCTGTCTGTCTGCCTACTGTATCCATCCGTTTCTCTGTCAAGTTATCTGTTGTCTGTCTTACTACCCATTTACTTCCATCTACACCAGGGGTCCCCAACCGCCGGTCCGCGGACCGGTACCGGTCCGCAGGGCATTTGGTACCAGGCCGCACAGAAAGAACTTGCCTTAATTCCGTTGTATTTATTTCGGAATACGAAAGATATTTTATTTTGAAAAATTACCGGATTCTCCGTCACACCCGTCTGTGTAACGCTTGACACACGTCAAGACACGCTTCTCCGTCACGTGACCGATTCCGCTTAAAAACAAAACACCAGAGCTCGCAAAATGAGTAAAAAAACTGCTGGAGATCAAATGAGAGCGCCCTTAAAAGTACGTTCGAGACAACTGGATTAAAGTTATGGCTGAATATTCTGAGATCGCCACAGTAGCACTGTTGCTATTTCCGACATCCTACCTGTGTGAGGCGGGGCTTTTCTGCAGCAATGGCGACTAAAACAAAATTACGAAGTAGACTTGACGTAAAACACACACTTGAGGTGTCATTGTCTCCTATTACCCCGAGATGGGACCGTCTGGTTGCAGAAAATCAAGCTCGGGGCTGTGGTGAGTCATCATTTTCATGCACTTTAAATTTGCATTGTATCGTATTTTGAAGGCATTAAACATTACCATAGCGATCAGAGTGTTGCGGCCAGATTAGACGCTCCTTGTGTTTATTATTATATTTCGAAAACACCACAGTTTTCATGCAGCTCAACCATATTATTTTGTTGTATTATTTCCGCCACACCTTAAATGCCGGTCCCTGAAAATATTGTCTGACATAAACCGGTCCGTGGGGCAAAAAAGGTTGGGGACCCCTGATCTACACTATCTGTCTGTCTCTCAACCTACCCGTATTATCTACACTAGCTGTCTGCTTATTGGTCTGTCTCGCTCGCTAGTAATCTGTGGTCTACCTACTTGTCTATCTGCCTGTCTTTGTGCGCGTGTGTGTGTCTAGGGGAAGCGAGTCTACGGTGGTCCTCAGATGTTACAGTTAAGTTTGGATGGTCAAAGGCTGTATGTAACTACGTCACTCTACAGTGGCTGGGACAAACAGTTCTACCCTGAAATGGTCCGGTTAGTGTATTTCTCATGCCTTCTCACACACATAGGGTTTGTTTTTTTTTTTAGGAGTTTGTATGCCTTTGGTCCATGATGATGCTAACATTGCTCATGTCATTTTTAGGGAGGGGTCAGTAATGATGCAGATCGACGTGGACACCTCGAAGGGGGGTCTGACCCCCAACGAGAAGTTCCTTGTGGATTTCGGTAATGAGCCTGGTGGTCCGGCACTGGCTCACGAGCTGAGATACCCCGGAGGAGACTGCACGTCCGACATCTGGCTGTGAGGGCCCTACCCCCCCCCCCCCCCCCCCCCCCCCCCCCCTCCAAAACATTCCCTGCTTCTTCTTAGGGTGCCTGTGAGTTAGACTTGATCTGTACTTCCCACTTTAAGATCATCAGGTTTTGTTTAAATGTTAGGAACACATCAGCGATGGAAATGCATATTCAAATCACTTGTATGATGATTGTGAGCTGACAAACACAGCAGCACCACTAGGGTCCATGACTGTACTTATACAATCAATGTATCTTCCCCCAAAAGGCCTGCTGAGGGGAGTGTTTGAAAAAAAAAAAAAAAAAAGACAACTACGGCCAGACTGATTGATTATTGCCACCTGTTTGGTGTCACTTTCAATAAATAGGCACCCCAGCTTGAAAAAAGCATTGGGGTCAAATTGGATCAGGCCATTCTTCTGGGTTTACTCTTCACATGTGAAGTGGACGAGATTTCTCAGTTGAGGTTTGTGTGATGGCCGCACGTCTTGACAGTAGCAATCCTCTCGAAAAAAAATTCACGCGAGCATCTCTGAGACCAGATAGCCACCGCAAGGCACTTGTATCCGTCTCGTCTCAGGCTGAGTGACATCGGTGCCATTTTGCCATCCTCGCGCTGGCTACAGACAAAGGTAATGTCGAGAGCCTTCAACCGTCACACTCCTCCTCTTTCAGCTGAGGTGATTAGTAGGGTGCTGCATTCACTCAATTACTCCAGTAACTTTTGCAAATGGCGCTCATTGGGGTACTTTCAATGCAGCATACATTTTGCTCACAGTCAAATATTTTTGTCGGAAAGGAAGGTTCGTGTCATTCTTTGGCTTGGTACTACATAGCGCACACTACTTTTGATAGTAATGGTGATGTTGACCCACATAAAGTTTGGGTTAATGGTCATTTGTTTTGCAACTACTGTAACAACCAATAATATGCTCTCAATGAGTTCATCATATGCGATATACAAAGAGGGCTATCACTACACAAAAGAATAACGTTGGTACAGTGGTGCACAACAAGGTACAAGTAACTACGATGGCATAAGAGGAAGCAGCTATCCATCCATCCATTTTCTAATCCGCTTATCCTCAGAAGGGTCGCAGGGCATGCTGGAGCCTATCCCAGCTGTCTTTGGGCATTAGGCGGGGTACACCCTGAACTGGTTGCCAGCCAATCGCAGGGCAAACAGTGACAAACAATCATTCGCGCTCACACTCACACCTAGGGACAATTTAGAGAGTTTCATTCACTCCTGATATTTAGAATGAAATGTTGCTTCTGACTCACGTAGAATGATAAAAGATTGCCAATGTCAAAAATAATGCAGGGGTGCCCTTCAGTGGTGCACCATAGAAACACTGCTCATGTACTGTTCGTTTGTATTGAACTTTTTAATAAGCACACAATGCATTTTACAGATTTTTTGTTTGTTTTTTACTTTTATGTAGGTACAATTTCATTCTTAAACATGCAACAGAAACCGTAGAACAAATAGAAAGTGCATGAAAATATAAAACTCACCAGCAGGCAAAAGTTCGTCATAGACGGATGTAGAGAGATTCCGGTCACTTTCAACATAAAATATTTTCATTAACTACCTGTAAACAGAAAATACTGTACGTGTTTCATTCTTTCATCTGCGCGGCCCGGTCCAAAGTGGCCCGGTACTAGTCTGCGGCCCGGAGGTTTTGGACCATTGCACGACAAGTCAAAAGCTGTGAAACACTTTTTTTATGTTATTGAATTGAACTTTTGATTGTTTCTGTACTTTTCTTGTTTTTACACAAACACTTAGCCTTACAATGCTCCTGTATTTTGAAGTTAGTCGTCATGGTGCTACTTGGAGAGGTAAATGTTTTTTTCAGCTTGAGAGCACTATTCGATGCGGTAAAGAACATTTATTTATTCATTTTAATTTTGACACAAGCACGTTTCCGGAATATTGACCGGACCAATATGGCGGCGAGGTAGGCGTGTAAAACAGAACGAGATGCGAGGTAGATAAAAAAAGCGTGTCTCCCCCTGGCGGCCAATGGCCATTATCCTCTTCGGCTGCGGCCAGTCGGCAACATCAATGGGGCGACAAAGTTGACTTGACGACACGATTGACCGCCGCCAGAGTTCAACAAGGTACGAGCAAGCCGCCCGTAAACACGTCACACAGCTCAATCAACGTTAGCTTAGCTTTTAGCGTCCCATCTCGCTCAAGCGTTTACTCGACATAGATAGCAACAGTTGGCTAACGCTGGTGAGGCTAAATAGCCTCCCCGAGCGAGCTTGGGCAGCCTTACAGCCGCCCGCAGACGCTCGGGCTAATCGACTGGTAGCCGATTGTTAGCCACTAGCCCCCACTTGTGCTAATCCGATGAATACTCGATGCTCGTCCGGAATGTGTTCATGTCATCTGCTGGCCCACAAAGGCGTGTTGATGTGGAGGTCCGAGAGCATAATTTGCTGATTTGAATCTCATGTTTATGTTCAGTTCGGTGGCGCGTCCAGTCCACGGAGCCGTGCTGATGACTGACAGGCGACCAGTACGTTGTTTGTCTTGAGTGCCGAGAAAAGTCCACACACCCTCTGTTTAAATGGCTGATTTTGGAGAGATCGTAAAAAAAAGACAGGGGGGAAAGACGGCAAAATCATTGTCCAGTCGAGTTGAGCGGAGAGTTTCCTAAAATGTCCGTTCAAAATCCAGTGATGAAATAACCGCGTTCGCATCACGAGAATTCGCAACGTGCAAGGCTCGAAATAACTTTTTCCTTGAGGAGCAGTTTTCACTGAAGTTGATTTTCATTTTTTTTTTTTTTTTTTTTTTTTTGCCAGTTAATGTCGGATATCTCAAGCACGAGTTTTATTCCACAATAAAAATAGGCCAATGTGACGGAGAGTTGATTGTAGGGTTGCAGCTGTGGTCGGTTCAATTTGTATTTGGAACCAATATGACCCAATTACATGGACTCATGGTTACCGTTGCCTAAGCAACAACCCATTTAAATTTTGTGTAGTAATTAGACTGTCCCTTTGCCAAATGGACTGAGCCACATCAAGAAAATAGGTTCGGATGCTTTTCCACTGCTTTTGCATTTGACGTGCGGTAACACATAAGCAACCTATCAACACTTGACACATGTCGACTTGCAAACAGGCCAAATTCAAAGTTAGTCCTGAAATTTCCGCAATTACCCTTGATTTAAACCCTAATAGTCTGGCTTTCGGTGTTTCAGAGAAATCCGATAAGCTATAAAAATGTCGCTGTGATAAAAGGACCACCATCTGTCCCTCTTTTCGGATTCAACATTGAAATCAGAAACTGAGCTGTTTCCCATTTTATTTTCCTTCCTTTGCGGTTTTTATAGTTCATCTTCTAAAATGCTGTCAAGACCATTCTTTCATCTCTGCCGAATGAATGAGTGGTCTCTTGAAATAATGGATGAGAATGGGCAAAAGTGAACCACGTCAAAATCCAATAAAAAGGAAATATGGGAAAAAAATAACAACAATCCCCAAATGGTTTGTGACTTTGGTAGTAGTCAAAAAAATCTTTGCTTTGCGCCTTTTCATCTTGTTTGTGGGTTTTAGCCGCTCACAACTGTTTGTGATGTAGCACCATCCTCTTGGTGTCATTTGCAACTTCAGCCCGGAAAAAAAAATCAACTCTCCAACCAGTCGGACAAGTTTGAATGATAGCCGAGGTTTTCTGGCACCAAATTAAGCCGAGGAGTACGTGTTGACAATGTAACCACCCGTGTTCATGTGTGTGTGCACTGTAGTGGAGGTGGGCGGAGCGTCGCTCTCAATGGAGGAAAAGAAGGCGGAGCTCTCCCCTGCCCCCTCGGAACACGACAGCCCCTCGCTGCGCCCGGGCCCCGCCCCCGCCGGCACGCCTCCACTGGGCGTTATCAGTGAGGGGGCTGGCGAGGCAGCGGCGGGCGAGGGCGTGGGGCCGCTGATCGACGCGGCGGCGGCTGAGAGGGCGTGTCGGGAAGTCCTGCACAAGCTCAAATTGAGACATACCGACCCCGTCCGCGACGGCGACGGGCCGGCCGTAGCCGACCAAGACCGGGACCAGGAGGAAGAGGGCTGGGCGGAGGGCGGCCGGCGGCGGCGACGGCCCAACCCATCCAAACAGTCATGGCTCCTGCGCCTGTTTGAGTCCAAACTCTTTGATGTGTCCATGGCCATCTCCTACTTGCACACCTCCAAGGAGCCTGGCGTGCAGGCCTACATTGGCAACCGACTCTTCAGTTTCCCGCACGACGAGGTCGACTTCTTCCTGCCGCAGCTCCTCAACATGTACGTGCACATGGACGAGCACGTCGGCGATGCCATCAAACCTTACGTGGTGGGTGCGCGCACACATGCATGCACGATAAGCGCACAGGTATTCAAACACACACAGTATGTACGGGTACATACACACAGTACAGTACCGCATACCGTGGGGGGGGGCATTTGGCGGAGCGTCTTCCCCTTCCAGGCTGCAACAGATGCCTGATGCCGAGTGGGCAACATTGAACACTGTGAAACAAGGTTAGCTAGCATGACATGAGAGTCCGTTTCCAGAGATGAAACGGACACGTCCCCCACTCCAAGCAGGAGAAGAGGGGGCAAGAGAGAGCGGATCGGCGGTGGTAAAACAGGCTAACATGCAGTTTAACTCGATGTCAATAAAAATAAGTCATAACATATGTACTTAAGAGGCAGCCCGAATTTTCACTGGTAAGGTATAACAGATTACTGGAGCTCCAAGAGACTCTTGGACCGGCATGTTGCCAACCAAGGTTTGTGGACAGAATGTACGCCACCACTAAGTAAGACAGGAAAGTGCAAACCCATGAGATGTTTTCCGAGTCAGTCACAAAACCTTCAAACGGCATTTGAAAAAGACTTCGTCATCTCACAAGCCAGAGACTCAAACACACGCAAAGCGACTCCAGGTACTAACGTCACCACTTAGGCCACATGTACTTTTGCCACTTGCCGGCCAATATGTCAATTTGTGACTTTCAAGAAAGTCATAAAAAATGTCTTTAAAAAAAAATCTTTTTTTTTTTTTCCTGTTATTTGAGTGCAAGTTGATTTCAAGTAGGGCAGTAAGAAAAAGAAACCCATGTGCGTGTTTCTCTGGCGCGTGTCCCTCAGGTGCATCGCTGCAGGCAGAGCATCTCCTTCAGCCTGCAATGCGTGTGGCTCCTGGCGGCGTACTCGTCCGACATGCACATCTCCACGCAGCGCCACTCGCGAGGCGCCAAGCTGCGCAAGCTCATCCTGTCCGACCAGCTCAAGCCGGCCGCCGCCCGCGCCCGCCGGGACCCCCTGACGCTCACGCCCTTCTGCGCCGCCGCGCCCGCCGCCGAGCACGGCCTGTCGCCTTCCAAACGCACGCACCAACGCTCCAAGTCCGACGCC